GTCAAAGGTAGAAAAAGTATGAAAAATAGTATTTTCGAATAACAAGTGTGAGCAATTTAATTACGTACATAAAAAACGTAAAATGGCAACTTACTTAACAAATTATTTATTACGTAAATTTCGTGAGTAAATTTTTAATTTATAAAATTCCATAGATAATATTCTTATATAATCATATATATTATATGTAATATAACATTTATATGAATATATATTAAATGTTGTATTTTTATAGCAAATTTACAAAAATGGGCATATGAAGCTGCAGGATTTAATCAATATGGTATGAAATATATGTATTAATATAATAGTTATTGTATATTTTCTGCAACTCAAATTTCATAATTTCATCATATGATATAAAATATATTTTGAACATAAATTTAGTAAATCTTACTTTAATTCCAGTATTCTAACTTTTATAATTTTATATAAATCTAAAGGTTTACATCGAGATGATATTCTTCATGAAACTGAAGAAGTACGAGAAGCATTAAAGCGAGTACCACCTCATATAGTAGAAGAACGTGATTTTCGAATTATTAGAGCTATGCAATTAGATTGTCAAAAAAAAATTTTGCCAAAAGAACAGTGGACTAAATTTGAAGATGTAATTTAATACAAATTATTTAGAATTTATTTAATTTTTATATACTTTTCTATAATTCTTTATATTTTAATTAAAAATATTAATCTAATTTTTATTACTAAATAGGATATTCTTTATCTAACACCCATTATAGACGAAATTAGAAAGGAACGTGAAGAAAAAGAAAGATGGAATGCAGAGTAATATAATAACATAGTAGTGAATTACATTGATTTTACATTTAAATTGTAAGTTCAAAATATAGTAATTTGTATATATGACATATAAATATTAAATAAATTATATTTGTTCATTTAATTCTATTATTTCTATTATTTCAAATATAATAGTTATAATATAAAAAATATTAATATATTTGAATTAAAATAATTATAATCATAAAAAATAATTTAACATAATTGAGTAATTTTTTATAAACATATATGTCAAATTATTAATAAATATTAAAGATAAAAAATAATATTGTGTATTTATTGTTTATTATATATATATATATATATATATTTATTTATATTAAATATATCTTTTATTATATAAATATCAATTATATAATTATTTAAATTATATAATTATTAACATTAATGTTTAAAATTTAAGTTTGGGTAATATTTTTGTTCAATAATATGTATAGAAAAAAATTATTAGTAATTACGTTTGTATCAATTAATGCATTTAACACCCTTTATGCAATGATTCATTCATTATTTCCTTTAGATTTGCTACATACAGTTAATGCGTAATACACTGTTAATAAACGCAATAATAATAAATAGAAATCCTGAAAATCCAGAATAAGAAAAGATAGAATCAATTGTTCATTTATATATAAAAGATTTGTGATGTAGTAAATAATTTTTGCGATTATTTGTAAGAGTTTCGCGGGCAAATGGCGGATCAATATTTCACCCCCACGCGGATCTGAGCGGCATCCCCAATTACTAAAAATTTATACAAAGTAATTTGAGTTTTGTGAGTAAAAATATGTTTTAATTTTTTCTTTTTTTTCTTAATAAATTTAAATATTTTTTTTATATTTTTTGGACATATAATATATATTAAGTTTTTAAAAGCAAATGCCTAAAAGCCTACATGGAAGATCGTGAAAGAAGATACAAAGAATGATACAAATATATAATAACTGAGAAGTACAATATAAAATATTATTGTATATAGCACAATTAAAATCTTTAATTATTCTAAACAATTATTTTTTTTATTTATACATTTTTATTTATACATAAAAATAATACGTAATCTTCAAATTTCCCTTGTGCTCGTATCTATATCTCTTTTATAACGGATTGAGTTTTCATTTTCAATCGTACGTATAAGAAGAAAAAGAATAATGTTTGTTTAAGTTGTTAATTTTATTAAAATTGTGTATTTTAATCGAAACATCAAGTGTTGCTACAAGAAAGGAGAAAGGATAATAACATCACTCTTTCGTCAAATCAAACGTGAGAAAATTGATAAATTATTTTAGTACACTTAAATTTTCATTGTGGATACTGAAATACTTCGTTGTTTAGACATCATTTTAATATAATTATAATGTGTATACGAAGGTAATTAAGTCAAATATTTGCATTATTCTTAAGAATTTTTGTATTTTATATGGCAAATTTAAAGAATCCATATATATTGCATCAAATATTTGGTTAATTGCAGATGCCGGAAAAACAGCAATCAGTGTATTTTCAAAGAAGAAAATCGCTGATAATGAACCTTCATAAAATTGATTATAATATTTTATATTTAATACAAAATAAAACATTTAGCAAATTTACTACAATAATACTACAATACTACTACTAAATACTACAATAACTTGATGCTATTAAGCATTCTAATTATATGTTATTGTATGAAAAAAACAATGCTACATATATCAGGTGCTGCGCCAAAATACTACCTCTTCTGTGTGTACAAAGTTATAAAATTGATTGTTTTAAAAGTAAAATAAAAATTAGACATATATATGTAAAAATATATATATACATCTAATATATGCATATAAAAATTTAAATATAAATGGAGAAATATATTCTGATTTATAAGTATTTACATATGAGTACATAACAAATGAAACTGGAAATTCTTCCCTAATCTATGTTCTCTGATTTGATAATTGATTATAATCTACAAACAATATGACAAGAGAACACTTTAATATAATCATACTACTCTACTGACAAATGTATAAAAATAAAAAAAAAATCTATATATTAATAGCTCAAAGAAAATAGTTATTAAGTAAATAAAAATGAGCATACCATATGATGAAAACTTGGTATGGATAGTAGTAGTTGGATTCTTAGTGGCCTTTATTTTGGCATTTGGAATCGGGGCAAATGATGTTGCAAATAGTTTTGGAACAAGTGTTGGTGCAGGAGTACTTACGATATTTCAAGCTTGTATTTTGGCAACTATCTTTGAAATAGCTGGAGCTGTACTCATTGGCTATAAGGTATTTTAAAAATTTATATATTTTATAAACTTTATTTCATAATATATATTATAATATTATTCAAAATATATGAATTGATACTTGCTTTAGGTTTCTGATACTATGAGGAAAGGCATATTAGATGTGACATTATATGAAGGCCAAGAAAAAGAATTAATGGTAGGAGCATTATCTAGTTTAGCTGGATCTGGTATCTGGTTAATACTAGCAACAGCTTTGCGATTACCTATTTCTGGAACACATTCCATTGTTGGTGCTACAGTTGGTTTTTCACTTGTCTGTAAAGGTACTGCAGGGGTTAGTAAAATTACTGTATCAATTTTAAAATAAATAAAGAATATTTCATAATAAATATGTTTATAGGTCAAATGGATAGCTCTTGCAAATATAGCAGCTTCTTGGTTTGCAAGTCCTGTACTTAGTGGAATTGTATCAGGTGCTATATTTTGGGTTCTAAGAAAATCAGTATTTGAATCTAATAAGCCTTTAGAACAAGGTCTTTATATTCTCCCATTAGCATATGGACTTACTGTTGCTATTAATATTATGTCAGTAGTACATGATGGACCTAAACGTAAATGAATTTTATATTTATATTTTAATAAATTAATATTATTTATTTAAATCAAATATTATTTTATTTTTATCTATTTCAGTTTTGATGTTAGATCAAGTGCCATGGTGGGGTAGTTTACTTGCTGCATTAGGTTTTGGTTCATTTTCAGCTATCATTGTTTATTTATTTGTTGTACCATGGCAAAGAAAAACAATATTACTTTCATTAAGTAGCAACGAAAAAACAACAACTAAATTTGGTACCTGTGATAAAAAAGAAACAACAGCATTATCTGTTATTTCTGAAGCCCCATGTAGTAGTAATAGTAATGGTAATGCAAAAGAAGTAGCGCCAAAATTACGAGGTAATAGCAGCGCAAGTCCTCTCTTAATGGTAGCAGGATCAGATACTGAGGGTGCTCAAACTGAAATTGAAAAGAAAAACGAAGAACCACCAGAAATATCTAAACTTTTTGCATTTTTGCAAGTATTAACTGCAGCATTTGGCAGTTTTGCTCATGGTGGTAATGATGTCAGCAATGCAATTGGTCCACTTATTGCACTTTGGGCTGTATATGCAGAAGGATCAGCTAGACAAGAAGCAGAAACTCCATTGCTTATATTACTTTATGGTGGTTTAGGCATATCAACTGGTCTTTGGGTGTGGGGACGCAGGGTGATACAAACTTTAGGACAAGATTTAGCACGTATTACACCAACTACTGGATTTACTATAGAGGTCATATATATTTTATAAATTTTAAAATTATAATAATAAGACAAAATAATATTTATTTTGATTAATTATTATTAATTACACATGAATTATAGCTAGGAGCAGCAGTAACAGTTTTGTTGGCAAGTAAGGCTGGTTTACCTGTGTCAACAACTCATTGCAAAGTGGGATCTGTTGTCTGTGTAGGATGGGCTTCACATGGTGGTGAGGGAGTTTCGTGGAAATTATTTCGTAATATTGCATTTGCATGGTTAATTACTGTACCAGTTGCTGGCTGCTTGTCTGCAGGATGTATGGCTATTTTTAAGGAAATAATTAGTTTGTGACTCTTCATTATCAGAACTAATCCATTTTAGTGAAAACCATCCAATGCTACTGTTGTCAATAACTTATGCAAAAATAAACGATCAAATATAATTTGACTTAGTTATTCTTTATCTATAGTTATTATTATAGTATATTAAATATTTTATTATATACTTTTATAACAAAAAGTTACATGAAATAAAAATTAAAGTTGTTACATCAATATTAGTTAGTGTTGTTATAGAAACCAAATCAATTAGTGACAATACAATTTAATATTCTATAGAAATGTCTTTTGAATACATATTTTATTAAACATTTTTGATATGGAAAACCTACCACTTTTACCAGGTTATAGATTTCAAGATCCAAGCGTAAGTCAGCAAATACTTATAAATTAATTATCATAATCATTATATTAGAATGAAATTTAAGTGAAAACATATCTTTTTAAAGATCAAAGACTATAGATTATTACAAAAATTTCATTTTTTAAATGGTTATCGTGTAGTACGTGATAGAAACGCTGGAATTGGAGGAAGACCAATAGATGTTGCATCTAGTGCATATGTAAAAGAAGAAGATTCTGCACAGTAAGTGATAAATAAATATAAATGCAAAAATATAATTTTCATTTTTATAAAATCTAATCTTTAAAATATTTTTTAAATTACTTAATTTAATTTCCTTAATTAATAATATTAATTAATATTTAGTTATGATCCATCATTAACATATGGTCGCGTAAAACAATATGCATATAGACAATTTGTTCCACATTATGTGCATTTTGCACAAAAATGCCTTTGCTTTAAAGCATTTTTTCGCCAAGGCGTATTTAACTCTCCAGACGAACATTTCCGTATACGTCACGTTAATATATTATATTATTTGGAAGATGATACTCTATGTATTATTGAACCGACAGTTAATAATGCTGGCTTTCAGCAAGGAAAACTTGTTAGACGCAATAAAATTGTAAAAAATATAAATGGCGATACATTTCATTGGAAAGATTTTAATATTGGAATTGATATATGTAAGTTTAATAAATGTTTTTACATGATGATATGTACTTTCCACAAATATTGTTTATTAAAAAAAAATAGACTCTCAAATTTTATTCAATATTATCTTATTAACTAAATAACAATATGTTCATATTTGTTTTTTACAGATTTTTATATATTAATGTGTGTTTATAATTAATTAACTTTTATTATTTGCAGGTATTTATGGTGTAGTTTATCACATTACTGATTGTGACTTATTTACTAGAGAATTTTTAAAGAGTCAAGGAATAGATGTTGGAGATAAGGAAGAGTCTCCTATAGATCCTTATATAGAACTAAGAAAAAATAAACAAAAAATATCAACATGTATTACAAAAATTCCTGATGATGTTAGACGGCGGTTTTTAGAATATGATAAAATGGTATTATTGTTTATTGCAACTTGGAATAACGATGTTTATCACATTACATATTTCTTAACGGACGATACGATAGCTGTCCGTGAAATACAAAAACCCAATAGCGGAAAAGATCCTGTACCAATGTTATTAAAAAGAATGAAAGTACCAAAAGATTGGAAAAATTTACCATTGTCGTATCCAGCTATATATATGGAATACGGCGATCCAGAGATTACCGAATATTATACACCAAAAGATTTTTTAGTCAGTTTATAAATAATTTTAAAAATATCAATATTCTTTTAATTATTTTTTTTACTTATAATTTTTTTTATTGCAGATAGGAAATACCATTTTTATATTTAATCGACGATTTCTTTTACATGATTGTGATTCTTTCACACGGAAATATTATTCAGATATGTTAGGAATAATACAACCAGAAAAAATTCCTCTTCCAATAGAAGATGACGTTAGGATCTTACCGGAATATAAATCACCACCGCACATAATTTTCGGTACACCTGAAGATACTTACGCTTCTTGTTTATCATTTATACCAGAACGACCTAAAAAAGATGTTATTCGACAACTTGTTAATTTTCCTAAAAAACTACGTTATTCTATGCAAATGGATGTGGTGCATCCAGAAGACAAAAATCGCGATTTCATTTTAGAATATAGTTTAAGTAATGGTACGATACTCGTACAAGAACTTGAAAAACGTAATTCAGGACGTCGCGAAGGTTGTTTTCTCAGAGCTACATTAGTTCCAAAACCGAAAACTGGAAGAGATGATCCAGAATATTATACTCCTCAAGATTTTTATATTGGTGCAAAAATTAATATTTTTAATCATTATTTCATTATAACTGGTACTGATCTCTTTGTATATCGTTATATCGAAACAAATCCTGAAAAGTTTCCATTAGAAGTACGAAATAGCGTTCGTAATTATTTAGTCAAACAGAATTACTTTTTGATGATATAAAAGTAGAGACCAAAAAAATTCAAGATAAGGAGGATATGAAATTACAATCGATAAAACCGGCTGAAGTTAGTATTAAAAAAGATATTGATATGGAAGAATGTGTAAAACATTTTGAAGCTCAAAGTAAATGTAAATATGAAGGAGAACATGGTGAATTAAGACCACGTACACCACCACCAGAAGAACTCTGTCCAAATTTAGCAACAAAACCTCAATTATCTGAACAATGTCAAGATCCAAATATATTTACCGAAAATAAAATAAAAAAGCGAATAACATGGGATGATGGGATGAAACAATAACATTATTCCTGTCAATAATTACATTCAACATAATATTTTTAACGAATCTGCAAATACATTAATTTATCGCAACGAAGATTTTTTTAATTCAAATTTTTTAAACTATGTTAATAAAATAATACATCAAGATATAATTATGAAAAATAAATATCATATATAAGTTATATCATATATACGTTGAACGTAATTATTATTATTTATTATGTTTTGATTACAAAATCAAAACTAAATCATATTTTTTAGAAAATTCATTGTTTGTACATGGTATAGTTCATGTGAATATTAAAATTCATAGTTCAATTCAACATTTAATCAAATACGATTATACAACGTAAATACTAAACAATATGATACATTATCAAGTATACTATTTGTATGTCTGCATATTATAATGTAATAATAATATACAGATATGCAGTTTGTATACATATGCATATGATGCACATGTATGTATGCATACGATTTACTAATCATAAAATAAAAATAAAGTTTAGATAAATCTTTGGAATCTAAACAAAATTTAAAAATATTGAAAAAGAAATTATTTTTAATATTAATAATTTTTCATAAAATAGTTTTTAATAAATTGTTTAATAAAATGTTTTAAGTATTACTTGACTATGAAATACGAAAATTTAATATAATTTAGTTTACATTTAATTGTTTCTAATTATTTAAATATTAATATCTATGAGCAATTTATTCCACTTTAAATTGAAATAATTCAAAAACATTGACTAAAAAATTTTAACATTGATACATTAGTTTAATAAAATAATTTACTTCTGAAATATTCATAATATAGAAATAAAAAAAATTTTTCTCGTATGTTATTCTCTTTTTTTGTTATTAATTAATTGTATATGCAAAAGTAATTATTTAAGTAATATTACGAAATTATAATAATATAATTCTTTACAAATTTTGTACGATTTTTTTGAAAAAATAAGATTAAATCAAAATTTTATATTATAATTACCTTGTATAAAATCTTATCATTTGTAACATGCTTTTAATTTGCGCAATGAAATATAATTTTTATAAAATTTAAACAAATTTCATTGTTTTTCTGTTTTTTTTATCATTTTCTACAAATTAATTTCTAAGTGTAATTATATGTAAATATATGCATAACTATTAATAAAGTAATCAAATCTAGAATAAAATTTATTATTTCATGTATTTTAGATTACTAAATCCATATTATTTAAGCAGTTTTTTTTTTATATTCATGTTTAATTTTCTATATATAATTTGTGAAAAATGGTTTAAATTTTTTCTAATATTACTACTAAAGGATTTTTTTTTCTAATGGGCATGAAAAAGTGTACATTTTTCTTTCAAATATACAAAAACACAAAATTTCTATTTCAATAAAAACAACTTGAATTTATAAAATAATGAAATCATGACAAAAATGTATCAAACATTAAAATAAAATAAAGTAACAGTCAATTTTAACAATAAGAATCTTATGAAATTTTCATAAAATAATACAATAATGATCATTATTGTATATGTTACTATTATAGAATAACTATTTTAATATTAATATTTTAATATTTTTTTTGTCATAATATTTTAGATCATTTTTGCAGTCCATGAATAATATAATGATATAATATAATATAATAGGTAATATATATATTATATATTAATATATTATATATATATTTATATATATTATATATATTCATTATATATAATATATATAATTAATATATGTAATATATATAATATAATATATATTTATAATAATATATATATTATATATATAATTTTTGCAATATAGAGATATAGAATATGCATAAAATAATCAGTTGACAATAATTTCTATTATTATCCAATGATCAAGCATAATTGTTACACATAAACTTAAAACGTTGTAATAAGCCCTTGCACCTTTATAACAAAGAAAGGTGAGCTCTTTCAGCCACAGGCACCAGGTTATATGTCCATCAAAGTTTAAAATGGTAATTGATTTAAATGACACTTGCTTATAATATTGTTCTCGCATAGATTTTTCATTATCAACAAAAGTTTAAGCATTTTACAAGGATTAGTCCACATATTACAGTTTTTTCTTCTGTTCCATATTTCTTTTTTCTTTCATTTTTAATTTGTACGTTTAAGAAACACCTTTCGATGAATAGCACGCAACACCACACTATATGCTTACAACTCAGCAAGGTTACCCAATATCCCTTGAAATTGAATTGTGTTCCTCTTCGTAGTAGTTACGATTAGATAATATTCATGATGCCGACGCGACGCTAATTATCATACAAGTTGATTATTTAACAGAAGGAAATAGTCTCAATAATGAAAGTTTTGTCACAGGAATTAGAAGCCTTTTGTGTATCCAAGAAAGCAAAGGTAAGTAGTAAGACGATAATTAGTCGTAGCGTGCTTTCTTTATGATGATTACTATTATGAACAGTATTATATTTTTGTTGTATCCATCGCTACTGGCGTGAACCTCCTCTGCCTCTACCACGACCACCATCTCGATCCTATAATAATAGAATATATTATTATCCCCCCCCAAAAAAAAAGATACAAATTTTATGCTAATTAATTTAAAACTTCATTTCATTTAGAATATATTGTTACTTACTTTGCGTTGATGATGTAAATGCGATTGATGAGAATGATGATCCCTTGATAAATCTGAATGTCCTCTATTTCTATGATTGGAAGAATGATGATGTTGTATAGCATTTGCTGGAGCTTTACGTTGATCTTCTTCTGCTTGTTTACGCTCATAATGTCCAAAATCATCAAAAATACTAGTTGAATGCCGATAAGTATGTAATATACGTAGCACTGTTACACCTTTTGCATGAGGGACTTCCTGTGCATCCCTTGAATTAGTCACTGGTTTATTCTCATTATTTTCTAGTCTAATGTGACGAAGTTGCACATTAGGAACATCTTTGACATAAATCCAACGTACACGAAATTGGCCTTTCCATTTATCTTGAGACCATACAGAACTGTTGCTTTTATAATCAACAGATGACACCATTTGTGCCATACCACAAAAGTGACCAGATCCATTAACAGAAAAGAATAAATATAAAGGTGCACCTTCACGACTGGCTTCTTTATATGCTTGATCCAATCTTTTATTACCATGTTCAGTACTACACCAAATCTCATATTTAATGGATCTATGAATATCATCTTCAGAATAAGATTTGATTACAAAAAACCTAGCTCCAGGAGCAGTTTCATCAAATTCTACAGGATTATAATCATTTTTTACTTTTAGTTCATCTAAAACAGGATGTGACTGTGATTGTGTAATTTGCTGTTGTGGCTGTAGTTGCTGCTGTTGCTGTTGCTGTTGTTGTTGTTGTTGTTGTTGTTGTGGAGGCATATGAATTTGTGATTGTGGTGGTGATGGAGGTGTTGTAGGTTGTCTATTCCAACATGGTGGAGGAGGAGGAGGTCTTTGTCTCTGAGCCAATGGTGGAGGTGGTGGAATAGGAGGCTGTACCTGTGGTGGTGGAGGTGCTGTTGGAGGAGGTGCAGATGATTTACCTTCACCCCATGTTCCAATGTCCATATTATGTTTTCCTGGCACAATAGGTGGTGGTGGCATTCCAGCTTTTTTTTTCATTCCTTGAGAAGATGAAAGTGGAGGAACAGGCTTTGCAGGTTGACTTGCAACACTTGCCCATGTTATCTTTCTAGGTTCTTTTGTTTCTGACTTTATTGATTGATTTGATGAAGTTTGCTGATCCTGACGTGGAACTTCACCACTTCCTAATGACAAGCCTTGTACACTTTGTTCAATAGTCTTAATTTCTGCATTACTAGGTGTTGGATAATTTTCATTTCCACGTGGAGCTTGATAATAATCTTCATAGCGTGTTTTTCTTGGAGTGCCCCAAGCACTAAAATCACCATTTCCATGAAAATAATTAAAAGCAGGTTGACCAAACGTACTAAAACCACCTCCTGCACTAGCAGAAAACATTCCATCCATGCCATATGCGTCATGACCTATTTGACCTCCATAGCCAGAAAGAAATGCAACAGGATCTGTTCCATTTGACCAAGTACCATCCCCAGCACCAAATGTTTGATAAGGGAATGAAGTACCTGCATAATAAGGACTATATGGGTCACCAGTCCCAATTGGATAACTTGAATGATGTGTACTGTTGCCTCCTCTCCATGAATCAAATCCAGAATCTTCTCCACCAGCATGATCTGTCTGTGCTTGCTGCTGGTGTTCTTTAGGACCATTGCTCACTATCAGTATGAAATTTTATTTTATTAATATATGACATGAATTCTTCTTGATAAAATTATATAAAATTGATTTTTTAAAAACTTAAATAATTTCTAATTAAAATAATATTTTAATATATAATATATATAATAATAATTTAATTATTTTAACATAGAATAAAAGTATATATATTTAATAATTAATAAAATATCACAAAGAACATATTAAATATAAGAAATATTTAAAATTAAATATTTTTATGTTAATTTAAAAGTAATAATAATTATATATAATAATAAGACTATTATATTAGACTATATAACATAATAACAATTATTACTAAGAAATTAAAAAAATTTTTTTTTATATCTTTTTTTTAACTTGTATAAATTTTTTTCAAATAATTAATAAACTATATATATTGTATATATTATTGTATATACTATATATATTGTAAATTTTGATATATTAAATATCATAATAAGTAAAAATAAGATAAATTATAATTAATATAAGTATATTTTTTTGTATGCTTTTATCTTTTGATAGGAAGATATTCATGCTAAATAAAGAAAATTTTAAATAACAGATAATTAAAAATGATTCTCTATTATAATATTTTAAATATTGTAGAAAAATATTAATTATAATACATGGTATAGTAATTTTTCAAGTTTAATAATTATAATTTATATGAAATGATTTTAATAAATTGATAATTTCAATTTTTTACTAAAAATTATGTAATATTTTAAATATTTCACTTATCGTATTACGCCGTCGTAATGAGCATATTATTTTTTAAGATTTGTATTTAATATTAATTGTAACATATATATAAAAAGAACATAATTTTAAATTATCTTATTTATTTTAAAAAATAATAATAAATTAATAAAGTTTAAATAATTCTATTGATAACCAAACATATTCCAATACATACTAAAGCATAGATAGGTTAATGCACTATGTATATACTATACTTATATAGAAATCAACTAAAAATATAGATAACAAAATTTTATATTAGTTAAAAAAATAGCAAACCTCAATTTATCGTGATATTAAATTTTATTGAAAAAATTTATACAATAAATATAAAATCTATATATTTTTTTTAAATAAAAAAATCTATGCAATCATATATTTAGCTCTTTAAATCCTACAATGAACTATATTTTACGAATAACATTACTAAATGAAATATTTAAAAAATTGTATGAGGATAGGAAGTCTCACCTTGACTGTTGGTTTGTCCTTTCATCCGCTGCATTCCGTTGCATGGAAAAATATACAAAATTTAGAATGGCTGTCTTCAGTGAAAGGTAAGTATCTGCAGTATAGCGGTGTGGTAGCAAGTCAACACACTGACCTGATTTGAAACAGCACCTGCCAATCCAGTTGACATAACCTGTCACACACTCTGTCTGCCCTTCACAGACGCCAAATAGACGGCTGTGCCTTAATAAAATAAAGTTTTCAAACGCAATACCACAATTACATACAACAGCGTTATACCACTCAAGTACGCGGGCACTTCTTTCTAAAGAGAAATCTTCAACTTTAAAATTCGCTATACCTGAGACCTCCGCGTTTCTTCCTGTAATGTCTTGCCGCGAGAGAGTCTCAGGAATTCTTTTTGTTACACTTTGAGACAAATAAATTTGCACAGAATTCTCAACTCCGAATAATAACTACGTGACGTGCACTGACCTCTCGTATATATTAACAGATTGTCTAACATTCGCAACGATAAGATCCCTATATGACTATTTTTTTAAATAATGTTTACTTTACAATGTAATTAAATCATAAATTAAATAAAAAATCTTTTTTTGCAATATTTTTATATGTAATTTTTAAATTTATTGTTATTAAATATTAATATCTTTTTTATTACATACCATAAACCATTTTCTTTACGTTCATATTTACTAGTTCTTACTACAGTATTAGAGCTAGAGAATCAATGTTGAGTATGGTCGTGTTTCGTATTATAATAAATCTAGTTTATACTTATATATTGTTTAATGAAGAATTAATTTACATAATATATAATATAATGTTTTCATAATAAAAAATATTATATATATTTATATTATATAATATTACATAAATACTATATAAATTTATATAAATTTCATATAAAGTTTCAAATAAAAATCTTACTTAAATAATTTTATAATATTAATATTTGTACTAAGAAAAGTGTAAAACTTTAATAATTTATATATAATTATATTATTATATTTAATTTATTGATATAATATTATAAATATTTTTCAAAGTATTATCATATAAGTAATATAAAAATAATATTAATATAATAAAAATTATAAAAATAATGTTTAATTTTTCCTTTTCATTATAGAACGAAAAAAATAAAATCGTTAATTTAATATAGTAAAAATATTATATATAACATCATATATATATATATATGATATATATATATATATATATATATATTTAGCTCATTTAATATATATATATATATATATATAAAATTTATATAATAAATATATAAAAAAAGTTATATATATAACTTACATGTAAATATATAATATATTTATTGAAATATTTTAAATTATTTTTTTTAATTAATTTTTAAATTTAAATTAAATTGTATTTGATAATTTTTGAATATAAAATAATGTAATACTATAAATAGGTTAAAGTAATATCAATTGTGTTAATAATAATATTCATTTACAATAATAATTTTTATAATTATAACTTATTACGGAATAATTCATTTTTAACAATCAATAATATTTTAAAACAAATGAATAATGTAAGAAGTAAGAATATTATAATAAAAGAAATACTTAATATTTCATTAATATATTTTCTATTTCAATGTCTTTCGATTTTATATATTTATAATGATTATTTTTACTATTAGTAAATATTAAATTATTATTATTTAATAAAATTAATATAAAATTATTAATGTCATTTTATTTATTCACTGTTATATATGCAGTTAACATACTATATAAGAGAATTATTAACATAAATTATTTTTACATTTGTTGATTACATTAAAGATAAGAATACACAAGAAAATACGTCTTATTTTATTAATAAAAAAAAATTTATTAATCAAATTTCAAAAGTTTTGATCAAATTTACTATGAAACAAAATCTTAAAAATAGTTTATATTCTCAATGTTATATAATTATATTAAATATATAATATATTAATTATAAATTATAAAAGAATTTAGAAACATTATAATCATTATAATAAATTATTAGCAAATTAAACAAATAATAAATAAAATAAAAGAAAATTATTATATATCTATTTTATTCATTTTTCATATATTTGTATTATATAAATATACAATGAATATCATAGCCACAAAAAATGTGTCAAACTTAGTATTATTCTAAATATTCATAATAATCGATTTTAACAATTTTGTCAATGTATTGATACAATATATTTTTAGTTATACATGATTAAAAAAAGTAAATAAAGAAAAAGAAATGAAATTTCAATTTCAATATCTAGAATCTCATAATATTTTTGTTACTTTTACAAATTTACAATTACCTATTATACTGTACTTATATCTAATATTTGTTTTCAATTTATTATTTTAATATTGAATAATTACATTTTTGTGTAAAATGGATTTCTTAATAGATCATTACCTTAAATGTCAAAAAAATTCATTTTCTGACTTGAAATTAATGGAAATTATTTTATACAAATATACTTAGATATTCAAATTCAATTATTTTAAAAAAATTAGTATAGTATATATTCAATACTTATATATATTAGTGTAAGAAAAAATTTTAATTCATTTTAAATAATAAAAGATATAAATATAACAAATTGGATTTTATAAGTTAAATATTTAAAAATTTAATTATGATATTTTCATGTAAATATTGAAAATTATTTAGTTTTGAATATATACAATACATTTATTTTGAACATTTTATAATTTCATATACTCAATGTAGAGTCTTTGGTTATAAATTTTTTCTTAAAACAAAAGAGACTTTCAATAGACTATCTTGCATTATATGGATGAACAGCACCATTTTTACACAAGAGAAATCTTTTATACTTTCTTAATGTAAACTCAGTTTCTTGTTAACCATGAAAAAGCTTTAAGAATTAAGTATGTTAATGTTAATGCATATAAAATTTTTTCTCTTTGTTGACGCTGCAACATTTCAAGTTCAATAGCCATTACTCGACGATTTAATTTTCCTACTTGTCGACGTAAATGTTGTATCTCTTCACTAGGTGGAACAGAAACATTAAGTGCGTTATATGAAGCTGTTTGTTCTCTAGAAAAGAAAATTACATATATTTTCATAAACATACAAAACATATAATATAAACTCATAACTTTTAATATTTTATACTAAAATTAATTTAGAAGAAATGTATATAAATTTTTTTTATATATATTTTTTATATATTTCTTGTATTATATATATTTAACAAATATAGTACAAGTTTAATAAATGACTTATACGTTTAAAAATAACAGAGATAATTGAAATGATCAATGTCATATATATATTCTGTATATATAGTTTAGATATAATATATATAGAATAGAATTTATTTTTTATATAGTTATTACCTAGCATGCCTAACTATTTGTGTTTCTGTAGGATATTGTCCATGTGATCTAGAGATTAAAGAATCTTTAGTTTCAGTTGAATAGGAATTTGGTTCCTCTTCATCAACTGCCGGAAAATAATGATTATCCAATGTCAAAATCCTTGGTGGAGTCTATGAATATAATATAAAATTTTAGACATTATTTCGAACATTTATTATTAAGAAAGCCTTTATTAAGTAGAATTCAAAAATAATTTTCTTAAATATGCATTTGAATATATTTAAAAATTTCAAATATATACCTGTACTCTAACCATGCCTGGTTCTGATGGTAAAACTGCATTTTCTAATGTAATTTCTCTTGGTGGTGCTCTAGTTCCAATATGTTGTTCTTGTCCTATGTTTGATGAATTATTATTTTTATTTGTTTTTAATTATCATAATAATCATTTTAAAAAATACTTTAAATAAAAAAATAATTTAATTATAAAAATTAATATGTAAATATATTTATAAATATATATGTATTAAAACATTAAATAAATATTAATGAATATTAAATATTTACCAACAACTAAAATTCTATCTGGAACATGCATTTCAAATTTTTCTTCTGCAACTATTTGATTCCAACTAGAACCATTTGTACCATTTATTTCTTCCTCTGTGTAATCGCCACTCACACGAATACTTTTTGGTACACGCATTCTTTTATTAATATCCAAAGTAAAATTTGGATCATAAAAATTGTCAGCTTCTCCATTGAAAACAGTAGGACTATGTGCTTTTGACATTATAACTAAAATAATTATAAACAAAATTCATAATTGTATTTTTTTATATTTTTTATTGAAATTGTTATATATTAAGTTATAAAAATTATTATTTAAAATAATATATATAAATAAAACAATAAATTTAATATTTTTATCTTAAAAACTAAAATAAAAATAAAATTTAATACAAGTGGAAAAATACCATTATTTATTAAATATAATAAATTTATATTTTAAGAAATTAAGAAATAAGAATTATTTTTACTTTTATTAATTATTAAGAAATTTATAAAATAATTTATGATAAATTATATGTGTTTAGTAATTTTACTCTAGAATAAAAGAATAGAATGACGACATAAAAAGATATGTGATTTAAACTTTATGTAGTATTAATAAAATAAGAACAAATGTATATCGTAAATCAGATCATTAATAGTACATATTATAATAAAATATTATATATATGAAAAATATTTAAAGTTTGAATAATTACCTTTCTGTAACTTTTCGATCGTTGAACACAAATCCTTCGCACGAAGTTGACAATGTATGTTATACTCATCTGCTGAAGTTATAATCGAAAATTTAATGTATTAATCGAAATAAATCGATATAGGATTACATCGATATATCGATTCTAATTCCCGCCAAAATAAATATATCTGCCATTAAAATCTTAACCAGTGTTATCAATTTCTTTCATGTGTTAATTTTTTCATTTTATTTTTTGAAGATATTATTTGTAATATTTTATGATATTTTAGTTCAATAATCTATATTGGAATAATTTATTGGAAAATATGAGTGACACTCAATGTAAATTTTTTATAAAATTTATAAAATTAATGAAATTTATTGTTTTAAAATTTACTTATAAATTCTATACATTTAAATATTGTAGAGATTTTTAGTAACAATTTTAAAGTTATTAACATTGTTAAAAATATTTCATTTAATTTTAATATTTTATTGCTTTAAGAGAATTTTATAAATATTAAAATTGAATATTTTAAGATTTTTATTTTTAATATAAATTTTGAAATTTTATTAAATTATTATTAAATATATTTATATTATATATATTATATGTTATAATAATTATAAATGTAGCAGGTAGAATTAAACGTCAGAAGATTGATAAAACTGGAAGATTGTCAGCTTTAGAAAAATTAAAACAATTGAAAGGTAGCAAAAATAAATATGAAATTGATAAATTAGAAAATGTTTATGAAGAAGTTGATGAAAAAGAATATACTAAAACTGTAATAGAAAGACAAAGTGATGATTGGATTATTGATGATGGTAATAATTTTATATATCTACAATAATATAACAAATTAATTTTTTATTCTTATTAAAAATAAGGAAAATTATTATGAATTATTTATTTGTTATAAAAGGAGAAAGTGGTTATATTGAAGATGGTAGAGAAATTTTTGATGATGATTTAGATGATGAAAGTATACAAGAAGCAAGAAAGCATAAAATCACAGGTCCTAAAAAAAACAAGAAAGATAATATTAAAATGAAAGGAAATATTCAAAATATGTTAATTAATATGTCTTCTAAAAAGAAATGTGATGCTAAATTGGATGATGATAACATTTTAGGAGATTTAATGTCTGAGTTGAAAAAAGACAATAGTCCAAAAATGTCAAAATTGAGAACTGTTAGAAATAAATTTTGTACTGAATCTAAATTAAATGAAAAGTAATATTTTTTATATTATTTTTAATATATATATATATATATTTATCTATATATAATTAATATAATATTTTAATAAATTATAATTTTAGAAATATTCATGTTAAAACAAAGTTACAATCAACTTCTGAATGTGAACAAATACAATCTGATGATAATAATGACTTAGTCATTTTTGACAAATCAAAAAATATAAACTTACAACAAATGAAATTAAATTGTCAAATAGAAAATATTATTTCAGATCAAAGTAATAGTCAAATAATTATAGATGATGAAATCACAAGTGCTTCAAATACAACATTAGATATACACTTAAAACAAGATATTAAAAATTCAAGTAATAATCAAATAATTGAAACAGAAAATGAAGATCTTACCCAATTCATTGGAGATGTAAGTCTTTTTATTTAATAATATTTTAAAATAATGTTTAAAATATATTTCATTTATTATCTGTATAGTTCTGTACAGATTTTACAAATGACAATGTTGATTACAATGAAAAATCAATATCATCTATCAACGAGGAAAATAAAAAACATAAATTAAGTATTCAAATAAAAAATAAAAATATTGAAGAAGAAAATTTTGATAAAATATTAGATGTTGAATTCACAACACAAATATCAAATATCGAAGTAACTACTAATACTAATACTACAGAACTGCCTTTACCACTTTTAACTAATGCAAATAAAGAAGAAGTATTTAGATTTTATTGGTGGGATGCATATGAAGATCCATACAAGCAGCCTGGAGTTGTATATTTATTGGGAAAAGTTTTTATACCATCTTTAAAAGAATATTGCTCCTGCTGTTTAACAATAAAGAATATTCCACGAAGAATTTATCTTCTTCCTAGAGTATATGTATGTATATTTTTTAATATATGCATATATATAATATTAATTCATGAGATTGTAGAATAAATTGCAAAAATCAAAACAAATATGAAAAACATTGGTATGCAAAAATTTTTTTATTTAGCAATTTAAATTGACCTGATGATGAGTATGAGCATCATACTCATCTCGCTTATTTTGTGATTTCTTCCTCATTTCATCTAATAATTAACAAATAGTTTTAATTAATATTTTTGCATACTAATTTTTCTATTTATTTTAGTTTTTAGAATTGTTTTTATTTTAATATTTTGTATGATATATTATACAGTCTTTTATCATTTATATATATCTATTTTTTTTTTAATTTATTAAATTAATTATAATAATGCAAATTTTAGATAAAAACATCTTTTAAAGATAATAACGAAGAAGAACAATTAAATACAATAGAAGATGTATATAAGGAATTTAATCAATTTGCAAATAAATTAGGAATAAAAGAATTTCGAAGCAGCAAAGTCTCAAAACATTATGCTTTTGAACAAGAAGGTACTCCAGCAATATCTGATTACTTAGAAGTAAGATATGCGGCGCATTATCCACCTGTGCCTTCTGATTATTCTGGACCATCAATAGAGCGTGTTTTTGGAACAACTGTAAATGCTTTAGAATTACTTTTAATAGAAAGAAATATTAAGGGACCATGTTGGCTAGAAATTAAATGTCCATTACCTAGTAATATACAAACTAGTTGGTGCAAAATAAAGGTATAACAATTTTATTCATTGAAATTTATTATTATTATTAATAAACATTAAAGCATTAATAATATATATAAATAGGTAAATTGCATGAAGATGGAAAATATATCCGTTTTCTCTGAATTTCAAACATTACCACCATTAGTAATAACAACTTTAAATATACGAACATCTTTAAATGTTAAATTACAACAAAATGAAATAGTCATGGTTGCAATACTTATACATCACAAATATCATATTGATAAAGAACCACCAAAACCACCATTTCAGCAACATTTTTGTTGTATGTTGACTTCTTTGAATTGAATATTCTACATACTTATTATTTTTTAATATATGATTCATTTTATTATTATTTCATGTAGTAATTACACATCCACATGATATACCTTGGCCAAGACAAGCACGAGAAATGCTTTCTAATATTTCATATACCAAAGTAATGAAATTTGAAACAGAAACAGATTTACTTGAAGAATTATTAAAAATAATAAATAATGCAGATCCAGATTTATTAATTGGATATGATTGTGGTTTTCAATTTGATATTTTAATACATAGAATGATTACATTAAAAGTTTCTAATTGGAGTAGACTTGGAAGACTAAGACGTTCAACACTTCCTTTGATAAGGGTATAGTATATATATATATATATAAAATATATATGTTTTAAACAGAAAATTAAAAAAATATATTTTAGGAAAAATAATTTAAATCAAATATTAGCTGGTCGACCCATTTGTGATATACAAGTATCAGCTAAAGAATTAAACCTCAAAGTTAGAAGTTATGATTTGCAATCTCTTTGTATAACGGTAAATATTTGAAACTAATTTATAAAATTCTTAAATATTTAAAAAGCTAGATTACAATTATTTTAATAGGTATTGAAGAAAAAGGAAAATGAATGCAAAGAAATAAAACCTGGTGAATGTGCTGCATTTTATGATACTTCAAACAAAATAGATAATTTAATTAAAATAACATTGACAGAAGCATTGTATATTTTATCTATTGTTTTTGATCTCAATATCCTTCCACTTGCTTTACAAATTACATGTATTGCTGGTATGTGTATATAAATATTAAAAATAATAATTTTTTTACCTAATATATATTTATTTTACTTATATAGGAAATGTTATATCAAGAACATTAACAGCAGGCCGTGCAGAAAGAAATGAATATTTATTATTACATGCATTTCATCTGAAACATTATATAACACCTGATAAACGTATTACGAAAAAAGGAAAAAATAATGAAGGTATATATATTTTTTTAAATATTATTTTTATTATTTTCTAATGTATTTATAATTTATTTATAATCATTATTCTCTATGTAGAAAATACTACTAAAAAAAAAGCAGCTTATACTGGTGGTTTAGTTCTTGAACCAAAAAAAGGATTTTATGATAAACTTATTTTATTAATGGATTTTAATTCTTTATATCCTAGTATAATTCAAGAATATAATTTATGTTTTACTACTGTTCCTGGAGCTGCATATGCTGATTATGGGGTAAATTTATTTATTATTATGAATTAAAAATAATCAATTTGAACTTCGCTTCATTTATAAATATATATGTACAGAATTTATCAATTCCTGAGTCAAATTTAGAATCTGGAGTAATTCCAACGGAAATTCGCAAATTAGTCGAAAGTAGAGGAGAAGTAAAAAAATTAATGAAAGCAACAAATATTTCACCTGAATTAAAGATGCAATATAATATTAGACAGCTAGCTTTAAAACTTACAGCAAATTCTATGTATGGTTGTTTAGGTGCAACTCATTGTAGATTTTATGCAAAAGGACTTGCTGCCATGGTTACAGGTAAAATATGAATTAAAATAGAATTTTATTTGAAAATTTATATATAAAATATTAAATACGTCTACAGCAAAAGGTCGAGAAATTTTACAACATACAAAAAGTCTTGTTGAAAAATTAAATTATGAAGTTATATATGGAGATACTGATTCTATAATGATAAATACAAATTTATTAGATTATGAAGAAGTTTTTTCTGTTGGAAAAAAAGTAAATATTATATGAATGATATAATGTATAATAATATATAAAATAACATTATTTTTTATTCCAAAAATAGAACTAATACTAATAAATTATTTATAGATTAAACAAGAAGTCAACAAATTATATAAACGAGTAGAACTAGATATTGATGGGGTTTTCCGTTATTTATTGCTTTTACAAAAGAAAAAATATGCTGCAGTTATAATGACAAAATTACCTAATGGACAAATAGAATTAACACAAGAACACAAAGGTCTTGACATTGTAAGAAGAGATTGGTGTCAATTAGCTTGTGATACTGGAAAGTAAGTAAAATATAAATTATTTTTTAAACAAAATCTTAAATCATATCTAATATATTGTAATATTGTTTATAATAATTATTGTTTTAGAAAAATTTTGGATCACCTTCTTTCCAATCAACCATGTGAAGATCGAGTAGAACAAATTTTTATGATATTACATGATGTTGCACAAAATGTTCGAGAAAATCAAGTTTCCTTATCATCTTTGGTCATTACAAAACAATTATCTAAAAATCCAAATGAATATCCAGATACTAAACAAGCTCATGTTCAAGTAGCTTTACGATTAAACAAAGAAGGTGGTAGAATGTGGAAAACTGGAGATACTGTTCCTTATATTATATGTGATGTTTGTATTTGTTAATTTATCATTTCATTTATATATATGTATTCTTATAAACATTATAAAATATATAGATATTTTTTTGTTAGGACGGAACTGAGAAATCTGCAACTGAAAGAGCATATCATATTGATGAATATAAAAAAAAAGATTTTTTAAAAATAGATGTTAATTATTATTTATTAAGTCAAATTTTTCCTATTGTTTTACGAATTTGTGATCCAATTGAAGGGTTTGATGATGTTTTATTAGCTAAATGTCTCGGTAAAATTTTAATTGATATCAATTATAAAATTATATATAAATTATTAAATATCATAAATAAAATTTTGTTGATAGGTGTGGATAATATTTATAAGTCTAAGAGAATGATACATGAAGAATATAGTGATATACCATTAACAGATGAAGATAAATTTAAATATTGTCTTCCTTTGAAATTTAATTGTAAAGATGAGAAATGTCAATCAGAAATTATACTTAAAAATATTATAATCGAAACGGTAATTAATAAGTATTAATTAACAAGCATTTTTCTCTTTTATATATATTTATTTTTTTATTTGTTATTTATTGTAAAATTTTATAGTCTACAGGAAATCAATTATCACTTGCTTCCTGTTCAAATCCAGATTGTAAGATACCACCATGGACATATGTTCATATAATACAAAATGCAGTGACACTTGCTGTACGAAAAGCAGTTAGTGAATATTATGAAGGATGGTTAGAATGTGAAAATCCAATATGTGGTAAACAAACACAAATATTACCATTAGGATTTGATTCAACATATCCAATTTGTAGAAAATGTAAAGATGGTGAATTACATAGAGTTGTAAGTTAAAATATATATATATATATATATATAATGAAATGATAAAACAAAACAGAATATAAATATATATACAAATAATTTAAATATGTTAAAATTTATTATTATTTAAAGTTTACAGATACAAAACTTTATAATCAAATGTATTTTTATTTCCATCTTTTTAATGTGAGTCAATCAAAATATAAAAGCAAGTATTTACGTTTTCTTTTTTCTTTTTTTTAACTAGAAAAAATAATAAAAAAATTATATAATTTAAAAATGAATTTATTTTTAGATTTGTTATCTCAATATCCACAAGGTATGAGAGAAGCATACGATTCTTTAAAAGAGACAATGGAAAAGATGTTAAGAAGAAATGCATTTTCTGTTGTATGTTTAGATACAATTTTTTTAAATATTGATGAACAATCAAAAACACCAAGTTTATATGCAGATATTATAGAAATATCAGATGGATCAGATAATGAAATGGTAAGTAATATTTAAAAAAATATTTTTAATTATTATAATAACAAAATAAAATAAAAAAATACTTGCTATTGATTTGATATAATTTAAATTTTTTTGTTTCAGTAAAATTAATTTAATAATTTTTTTCTAAGTATTTAAATATATTTTATCAAATTTTTTTTTTTTTACGTTTTATACGGATAAAAAACACGAAACATTACAAATAGCAACATAAAATAATTTCTATTTACTATAAATAGTCTTTATGCTTGTATTAATGAAAGCAATATTTCTAGTAGTTAATTTTTGACATATTTTAAGATCATATTATATTTCTAGACGATCTATAACAATTTTAACAAGATGAACAATGAACACGAATTTGTATAAATGAAAATTTGTTCAAATGCCATACAAATTCATGAGGACATGCTTAATCAATCTCACATAAAATTTATACTCAATTTGTGTTCATACATTCTAATTTAAGTATAGTTTAAATTTTAAATCTTTTCAATTGTAATTAAAATATTATTAAACATTAATTTATTTATTTTGAAGAAATCTTAATAATAAACAAAAGATTGGAGAATTAATATTAATTTTAAATAGATAAAATTGACAGCTTAAAATTTATTAATTTATTAATAAGCAAGTTGGTTTAATGGCACATTAGGGATCATTACTATCTCTTATATATTCCATGCATATTATCTATTATATGGTGGTAAACCAAATAGTTCAGGTTGAAATTCTTCTAGACTATTTAATTTTAATGTTGGGTTTTCAATATAATGATTTGGTAACATTGGATCTGGAATCATAACAACTTGCATCCCAGCATTAAATGCAGCTTTTACACCATTTGGAGCATCCTCAAACACAAGACACTAAAAATATAATATTAAATTTATAAATAGTTATATGGAAAAAAATATATATATAAATTGTAAAACAAACCTTTGATGGATCAGGATTGTCAATAAAACGTTTTGCAGCAATTAAAAAAATATCGGGTGCTGGTTTACCATTAATAACATCAGGATCAGAACCACCAAGAACTTTATGATTAAACAAATCAAATATATTTTTCCATCTTTGAGTTTTTAATTCAAAATTTTCTTTATTTGAACTTGTAGCTAATGCTATTGGAATATTATTTTGTTTTAGATGTTGCAATAATTGTTCAGCACCTGTTTTTGAATAATATATTCTATACTTTATTTAAAATAAAATTTTATGGTAAAATAATTATGTTAAAAATTAATATTTATATAATTATTAATATAAAATTATATAAAATTTATATAATTATATTAAAAAAATATTATAAATATTATATAATATTAGTAATACTTAAATTATATTTAAAAATAATTTACTTCTGATCTTTATTATATATATTTATACTATAATCTTCTAATCTTTATTTTTCTAAATTTATATAAAATGTTTTTAAAAAAGCTTAAAAAAAAAAGAAAAATTTTTACTAAGAAATAAGAGTTTCATGATAATAATTTTTAATCTAAAATATCAAACAAATAAGATTTTTTTCTTTAAAATTACTGCATATAAATATAATTACATCAATATCTGCAGTAATAGTATAAAAAATAGTTTTTACAATAAATACAATAAAATAATTCATTTATTTTAATTATATAATATTTATATTTATAAAGAATAAATTAATTTAATTCAATTTAAAAAATTTTATTTTATTCATTTTAAAAAAAATAATTTATATTTATAAATTTTGCATTTAAATGAAAACAAAGAAAATTTTGTGTCATATTATATGATTTTTTGTTAATATTGCTAATAATCTTTTATCATAATATCTTTTTGTTAAATTTTTTTTATATACTTTTATATAGATTTTTTATTTATATATTTAATATAAATAATTAAATCTAGCAATTTTAAATTCAATTTATATTAAATATATTTTATTAATTAAATATTACTTCTTTTAATGTTTATTATAATTATATATATATTATATAAACTCTTAAAGTTTTATTATTTTTAATAATTTCTAATAATTTCATAAATTACCTGGCATAAGATTAGCAGAGGGGAATAATTCCTGATATATTTCAGTTGTCTTTTTTTCAAATTCTTCTACTGTTATTGGTAAAGAAAACATTTCAATCAAAGCTTGTCCAACATCTTTAGATTTAAAACCCATAATTTTTGCTTTATGTTCCCATGTAAATTCTTTCCCATAGAGATTTACAATACGATTAAAGGCTTCAGTATAAAGTAATTCTGTATCTATTAAGATTTTAATACAAATAATGCAATTATATAATTAATTATATAATATAATATAAAATTTACTTAATTTATGAATTACTGATTTGAATCGATTTATAAATATTAATTTATAAAAATTGCGTTGAAAGTAATTTTATACTTATAATAAATGAAAATTTTTAATAAGAATGTTTATATACATGTTCAAAAGTATATATAATGTATATATAAAATTCTAATACGATTTCCCAACTCACGCATGAGTGTTATTTTAACCTTTTTATTGATAGTAGTACCTGCCCATAAAGATGCATGGTGTATTTTAATCTATATTCTTCATATTTCTTAATAATTGCCATTGAGACTTTATTCACTTCTATATATACATAGACAAAACAAAATTACTTTATTCTTATGAATGAATATTTACAGATTTATTTACAAATTAGATTAAGTTTTGTCCAATTTACAATATGGATTCCGTAAAATAAAATATTTATTTTTAATTATTATATTAAATACAAATTACTTTTAATTATTAATTAAATAATCCCTCTCTGTATATATTAATTCATTGGATATAAATACAATATAACTTAAGATAATACTAATCACTTACTGAGCAATAACCCATCCATATCAAAAATACAATGTGTAACATTTTTATATTGATTTTGCGACATTTTTGGATGTATTAAAATTTTAATCTTTTAATAACACCTTATATAACTAAATTATTATAATATTAATCTAAAAATATATATAGAAATTTATTTTATTAATAATATCTTATAGAGTCTCACAGTCTATTTTATATATAAACTATGGTAGGAATAAATCTTGTGTAATTGTATTCAATATAGATGAAATCTAATTTTTATGATTTTATAAAATTTTTGTTTGTTATATATATTTCATGATAAAAAATAACAATAATACAGTAAAATACTATAATAATATATGTATTAATATATAATGTTCAATAATGTACTGCAGTACAAATCGATTTCACATTTATAATAATTAATTATATTACATATACTTGCACAATTATTTTCTAAATTTAAATTTTAAAATCTAAGCAAAATTTATGAATATTAATTTTTTATTTTAATTTTTTTATAAAAATATGATATAATTTATATAAAAAATATTAATATATAATGTACGAGATACTTTTAGGCGATAATTCTAGAGAACAAAAATATATAAAAATTTCGATTAAAATTTATTTAAGTAATAAGTAATTAAAGTTTGCATTAGATAAAGCTGATCCTATTCTAAAATCTGTTCATATGAATCCGATTTTTTATTTTTATAATTTATTTGAATGATTATATTTTTAATATACTTTATTTATGTCATAAGCTAAAATATACTTATGATTATCTATTGTTAAAGATAAGATTATTTTGTATAAGTTTATTTGTAAAGTTGATTAAATGATATTGTTTTGTTTATGAAAATAGGATTTAAAAGTTGAGATCTTTGTGATGATAATTTTATTATTGTAAAAAAATGCAAATTCGATCATTCAATACTAGAAAAGAGCAAATTTTACTATTTACTGACTTTTTGTTAAGTTTAATAATTTTGACTATTTTTATGTTATCACATTTTAATATTTATTTTAATATAAATATAAAAAATATTAATAATATATTTATTATATTATAATTTTTCACACTATTATATTAAATTATAATTATTTTATTGTATTTTTTTACGATTTAAAAATAAAAATATATTTTGTAAGCGAAAAATCGAGGGAATCTCAAACTAATAATTTCCAACTTGATTATATATAAAAATATGAATTTGTTACCAAATTTATTCTTACTATATTTTGTATCTAAAATAGATTATATTTTTATTAGTAAATATGATTATATTTTTATTATAAATGAATTATAATAGCTTTCAATTTTAAATAATTTATTCTTAATCTAAAATGTATAAATATTGGTAATAACTTTTTAATATAGACTAAATATGTAATAAGAAATTTGAGAATGAAAATTAATAATATAGATTTTGTATATATTAAATCAAAATTTCGTAATCAAATATTAAATAATATTATAAATTGAATATCAGCACTTATTTTATGTTAATCAGTTTTATCATTTTATAAACATATTACATATAAAATAATTATAATGTATTATAGTTTAAATAATAGAACTATTAAATAATTGTTAGTATACAAAAATCAATCATATTTGATAAATATAATGCATTCTATATTATTATATAGAAATACTTATATCATTTATTTGCATCATTTTTTATCAAATTTATAATAATATTTTTTTTTATAAAGAAATTATATTATATTATAAAGAAAGTAAAATGCAATAATTTTAATTTATAAAGCAAATAATCTAATTTTGGCTATTCTCATTGAAATGGATGATTCCATTGTAGCGAATGTTTGTTATGTGTGACCAATCAGAATAATCCACGAAAAATTATATTTGGTTATAAAGAGTGGGGAAACAGATAGGACGATTGAATTTTGCAAGGAAAAGCTGTATTCGTTTTGTTCTTATATTTGAAAGATTTTTCCGTGAATGATTTCTCGAAAGAAATTGTAAACTCATTGTCTTATTTTGCTAAGTAAAATGCAAGAATTTTTAGGTAAGTTTTAAAAACCAATATATATATGTAATATATATCTCATTTATTAGTATTAAATTTTACCGGTAAATATATACCATTATAATGTATATATTTTTATTCTTTCAATTAATATTTATTTTTATTTGATTTTATATTATTTAAGAATAATATTGTTATATTTGTTTTATTTAGGTATTTTGCTGTTAATTTCTGGAGCTCATTGTTTGTACTCCAATTCAGATGTTATAAATCTAAAACCAAATAATTTTGACAATTTGGTATTAAATAGTGATAATATATGGATTGTGGAATTTTTTGCACCATGGTGTGGACATTGTCAAATGTTGACGCCTGAATATAACAAAGCTGCAACTGCACTAAAAGTAATTTTTATATTAGAAATATTTTATTTTATTTTAAAATAATTATTTTTTGTTTTATCAGAAATTTGTAATATAAATTTTTTTAGGGTATTGTGAAAGTTGGTGCAGTAAATGCAGATGAACATAAATCTCTTGGAGCAAAATATGGAATACAAGGTTTTCCTACAATTAAGATCTTTGGTATTGATAATAAACCAGAAGATTATAATGGACCAAGAACTGCAGTAGGAATTGTTGATGCTGCTTTAAATGGAGCTGGTCAAAAAGCACGTAGAATTTTAGGAGGAAAAAGAAGTACTGGAGATTTTAAGGTATAGTAACATATAAAAAATAAAAATACAATAAATAATTAAAAATTTAATAAATTTCAATAAAATAATTGAAAATTTTCTATTGTTATTATAGTCTAAAGATTCCAAAGATGTAATTGAATTAACAGATGATAATTTTGATAAGATAGTAATGAATTCAGACGATATGTGGTTAATTGAATTTTATGCACCATGGTGTGGTCATTGTAAAAATTTAGCTCCTATTTGGGCATCTGCAGCAACAGAACTTAAAGGTAAAGTTAAATTAGGAGCAATTGATGCTACTGCAAATAGAGTAAAAGTAAGTAATTTTAATTTTAAAAGAAACATTATTTAAGATTATCTATATGATATGATTTTCAATCAAGTTCTTTTAAAATCTTAATGTTATTTTAGGCTGGTCAATATGAAATAAAAGGATATCCTACTATTAAATATTTTGCACCTGGTAAAAAATCTACTGATTTTGTGCAAGAATATGATGGTGGTCGCACAAGTAGTGATATAGTAAATTGGGCATTAGAGAAATTGGCAGAAAATGTTCCAGCACCAGAAGTACTTCAAATTATAAATGAAAAGGGTTTAAGAGAAGTATGTGAAAATAAACCGTTATGTGTTATATCCGTTTTACCGCATATTTTAGATTGTCAATCAGAATGCAGAAATGGATATTTAAAAATATTAAATGAACTTGGAGAAAAATATAAACAGAAAATGTGGGGGTATGCTATCAATCTTATTTATTGCTTAATGAAAATAGAATTTTAAAAACAATATATATATTTTTTTGTAGTTGGGTTTGGACTGAAGCTGGTGCTCAACCTCATATTGAGGAAGCATTAGAAATTGGAGGTTTTGGCTATCCAGCATTAGCAGCTGTAAATATAAAGAAAATGAAATATTCTTTATTAAAGGGTAGTTTTTCATATGATGGTATAAATGAATTCTTACGAGATTTAAGTTATGGACGAGGAGGTACAGCTCCTTTAAAAGGAGCTCAATTACCAACAATTCTTGAAACTAAATCGTGGGATGGCAAAGACGCCGAACTTCCACAAGAAGAAGAAATCGATCTTAGTGACATAGATCTTGATGAAAAGGATGAACTGTAATTATAAAATTTAGTGTTTCTCAAAAACAAACGCACTTTCATATACATATATTAGTAAAATAATTCAATATTTATTTTTATATAACATTATTATCAGTTAATATACTATGTATGTATTAATGTACACTGATAATCATTATCATTATTTTTATCATAATGTTATAAATTTCTTTTGTATTGAAATAAACTTCTTAGGAAGTTTAAATATGTTTAAACAATAATTCTTCCATTGAAGCCAAATTTACAAAATTTATTCATTCCATCAGAATCATATATAATTTATTTAAAATAAAATTAATTTAAAAATAATTTTTATTATATAAAATAAAAATTATTTGTACATTTTTAAAATAATAGTTGGATAAAATTTATAATAAAAATGAAACATATATACAATATATATTTAACAAAAACTTTTTTATGAGAATATTATAAATTTAAAATAATTACTGGTAATATATAACATGTCATTATGCATTCCATAAAATATTTTTGGTTCTCCCTAATATGGGACCAAAATAAAAAAAAGCAATTATAAATTTAAACATATTTAAAGCATGCATTATTTTTATGTTTATGTGAGATTTCATTATTTGACTGAGTTATACAGGTCTTCCATCATGATATAAAAATAATTTTATATTCTTCTCTAAAAGATTATAATCTTCTGTAAAAGATTATAATATATGAAATATGTTTATTGTATGTGAATATAAAATATTATCTTATCTAAATATCTAAATTTAACTAATTGTAATCTTAGTTTATGTTTTTATTAAATAAATTCTACCACAAAATTATAATATTGTTTATATATTATTATATATTATTGTATGTATACATTGTTTTTATTTTTGTTTAAAATTTTTATTACTTAATCTTTATTTCAGAAAAATATGAAGTTTCAAATATATTACACATTCATTTAAATATGTATATAGTATATATTTTTATATAATTATTCATTTAAGTTATATTATTATTCTTAATTGTTACTATTATTTTTAATTGTTATTACTTACTTAAATTGCTAAACATAATTTAAAATAAAAAATTTTATTATTAAAATTACATAACATAAGGTTTTCTTATTTTTATTTTTTCTCGTCGTCTTTAGGTTTTTAATCAAATATCAAAATCATCTCAAATGAATTTTAATAAATTTTATAAAGCAAGTATAAACAAATAAAATAAATATAAAAAAAGACAGAGATAAAATCGAAATTAAGCAATCAGTGCAATTTCCAGAGTGTCACAAATGAAACTAATCAAATAAAAAAATTAAAGTAGTAAGATAAGAATTAATCGTCTGTTATTTCTTGAATGTTAAGGATATTTTTTTAATTCACGAGATGGCGTTAATCTTCACTTCAGACTCTATTTTACTTTATTTTTTTTAAATAAATATCTTTAACATTTTTTCCCTATTTTATTTATATTTTATAAAATTTATGTGCTCAAGAGATTCGATATTTAAATACTTGAAATAATCATATATTGTAAATATTTTAAAAAATATTAAATTTAAAAATTTGAAAAAATATAATTTTCATTATATTAATTTTTTCATTTTCTTTAAATTGTAAATTAATATAATAAATTATTATTTATTCGAGATGATTCTAAAATAAATATAATTAATATACATAATAATATCTTTTTAGATTTTTAAAAATATTTCATTAAAATATTTTATTTCTAATTTTTTTTAATAAAAGCAATTTTTTATAATTAAAAAAAATATAACATTATACATATTTATTTTTATAACATTAATTTTAACTAAATATTTAATATTATTACAAAATATGAAGTTAATATTATTATATGAAATTCTAGTCTCTTAAAAGATTATTTTTATTTTATTTCTAGAATAACATAAACAGTGTAATATAATGAATTTCAAGTAAAAAAAAATAATTTTTCTCTCTATATCGTTTTTATTTATTTTATGTTATAAGAGAATTTAATTTTTACTATTTAAAAAATGGATTTTTAATGTTTTGAAAGTTATGCGCATGCTATTAATTACTTTTTGTTTCTAGAAATATTTGGTAGAATTGATGTCATTTTAATAAAACGAATATTTCAATCTTATTACTATGAAACTGAAATTATATATAAAAAAAATATTTATAATCGTATAATGTTTAAATTGTATAAAAAATAAACAAAGAGTATTTTTTTTAAAGAGGGTTAGAAATAAAATATTTTTTACTAAGAATAAATTATTTGTTTTTATTTATTTATTTATTTTTTTCAATACATTTTTTAAACATTCAATGTGAAATTAATTTTTTATCTTAATTCTATTTTTGTTCTATTTTAAGTAAAAATGGGTACAAAAATATTAAATGATATTCATAATGACATAAAACAATTAATAACAGCAATTACATCTTTTGAGGTAATTAATATTTTATACATATTTATTATTTAAACTAGTTTAAACTAAAATTATAATTATAAATTAAAATTAAAATATCAATAGAATAATAATCATAAATTCTAATAAATAATATTAATATCTAGGAAAATGAAGAAGGATTTCAAATTTGTGAACGTTTCTGTATGACAAATATTAAGCATCATCGATATCTATCTGTTGACAGCAGTAGTACAAAAGAAGCTATTAAAGCTTTAATTAAGAAATTTTCTATTCATGGAAAATATGATGTAGCAAAAAAATTTGAGGAACTTGTTGATACATTTATATTAAGTTTTAATTTTGAACAGCATCCACAATATGATTTACAGTGGCATCTATTAACTTTATTATTGGAATTAGCTAATGAAACATATAAATCTGATTTAGAAACTTTAAAATTAACACGTGGAGAATATACTTTCAATATAACAGGTGAAAATGAAAGTGAAATTACAGAGGAAATTGATTGGATTGAATATTTAAAAGAGGGACAAGAAAATTTTTTCAATGATTATAAAAGTGATACAGATAGTGTAAATACTTTTATTTGCCTTTTTGTTATATTTGATTAATTTATCAAATATAATAAAAATTATATTATATAATAATAAAATAATAATAAAAATTACTTATAAAATATGTTTATTTAAATATCTCATTTCTAATAGGAATGGTCTAATGATACAGAAGACAATGTAGATATACACTCAAATTTTGAAGTACCTATAAATATTACAGATTCAAATAAAGCAATATGCATACCATCTGTTGAAAAAGAATTAAATAAATTATCTTTAGCTCTGAATCAAGAACTTAACTCTAAAAATTGGCTGTTGTTAAATGTTCAAAATAGTTGGTGGAATGAATTAGAATGGAGAAAATATCCAGTTAAAAGCAATTTTTTTGATGCTCATTTTTGTGAAATTTGGTAGGTATTTATTTGCATTATTATTTTTTCTTATATCATATTTTCAATAAATATTAAATAGGTATAAAGCAAATGGGAGAAATTTTTATACATTAGGAACCCTTAGTGAGTATGTAGTATGTAGAGAATTGTTATGGATGTTTTATGCTCCATCACAAATGGTAGTGTTTCAACAAAATGAAGAAACAAAAGAATTTTCTATTCGTCCTAATATATCAATACCTAGTTTAACTACTGTGAGTATATAATAAATAATTTATAAATATAATTATAATTATTTATAAATTGTGCAATGTAAGATTATTAATAAAATATTTTAGATTGCATTTAATAATATTCTTTTACCATTTTGTAAGTACTTTTCAATGATACATGATATAGAACAATTTGGAATTAGATTGTATTCAAAACAGGATGACTTTTCTAAAAAACCACCCTTAACATATGAGACATATAATGCTATTTTGAGACAACATTTAATACAATTTAAAAATGAAATAATTAATATAGAAAAAATTCTTATGAAACAAGGTATAAATAATAATTTTCTTTAAATTTAGTGAATATTTATAAATATTTTTACTATATTTATTAATTTATATTTATATTGGATTTTAGATAGTAATTTTACATTTTTGTCTTTATCATCAATTTTAAAAAAAAATTTATATAATATAAAAATTTTATATGAAGTTCATAAAAAATCTATATCTAATTGGATACTTCATCCAAATTGGAAGTGTGCATCTAAATTATTGTCATCTTTGTATTTTGAAATACAAAATTCACACAATCGAGAAAAAACTAATATTTGTATTAGTTTATATTTAGCTAGTTTTACTGTTTATTTAAACATAATCGATACATGGTTAAGTGAAGGCCGATTTGAAGATTGGAGAGAAGAATTTATAATTACAAGGTAACTATGAATGTATAGTAAAGTAATAAATATAAATGATAAATTATTTATTCATATTAGGTTATCAAATAGTGCAATTTTAGAAAATAATGCACAATATGAAACATTTTCTTTGAGATCTTTGGATAATATATGTTTAATGGATCCAATTATGCAATTCTTAATAAAAAAAATACAATATATAGGACAAAGTATTGAATTATTAGTATCTTTGGATCGAATTACAGATATATGGAAGATTAACATAAGAGAAAATGGTGTGTAATACTTGTATACTTGTATATTTTTATATGTAAATATTTTATTATATAATTTTTTCAGAATTAAAAAAATCATTGGTTGATGAATTTTATATTAAATTAGAAACAGAAATTTCTAAATATAGTACAAATGAACAAGAAAAAGAAGAAATATCTTCATCTCAAGAAGAAGAAGTTACAAAAAATGAATATGACAAAGATGTAGAAAGAAATATTACAAAACAATTAACTGAGTTTAATAATCCATTTTTATTAAAAGCTTTTGAAGATTATCTTCCTCCTGAATTATTAAAAACAAATAATTCTGATAATATTAATATTCCCAAAATTCAAAATATCAAAGTAGAAACTAATATCTTCAAAAGGTTTATCTTTAAAGTTCTTATTATAATATATATACTTCAAATAAATTTTCTTACAAAAATTATTTTGTTAAATATAAAATATTATATTTTAGACTTGAAAAAGTATCAAATTATATATTACCATTCAGAAAAATATTAGAAAATATTTTAGCAGATATATTAATTTTGCGATATAATGGTGCTAGTAAATTAGTCAAAAATATTATGTCTGAAGAATATAAATTAGAATTACATTTAATGTTAATGAGATCTGTTTATATGATGGAAGCAGGCCATATTATGAACAAATTTTATCAAAGATTGTTTCATGAGGTATACTATAAAATATTTAATATTCAATGTATTATTTTTTTAATAATTAAATCTTCATTTAAATTTTGCTTAGATTGAAAATAATCAAATGTGGAATAATTCATATTTTTTATCATGCATATTAGAAGAAATTCTTTCTCAATGGTGGTCAGATTTAAGTTCACGTTGGTCTATTACAGTCTCTAACATTCATACAAATCAAGTATTAATAGCTGTTGATAATATAACATTACATTATGCAATAGGCTGGCCGATTAATATTGTATTAAACGAAGAAACTTTTATAAAATATAACGAAATATTTAGATTTCAATTGAAGTTAAAATGGGCTTTATGGACGCTAAATAATTTAAGATTTAGTGGTAAAAAAAATACGAAAAATTTATATTTTTTATTTTTAATAAATCATTGTAAATAATTATGTTCTTTATAGATTTAGAAGGTACAAAATCAATGTATAAGAGGAATAAATTGGAACAGTTTCATATAAGACGCATTGAAAGTTTACGATTTTGTTTGTTACATGCAATTACTTCAGTACATACTTATTTATCAGGTCAAGTATTACAAAATTTAAGTCTTATGTTAGAAAAATCTTTAACCCAAGCTGAAAGTTTAGATACAATTATATCAAGTATGTATAATGATAAATTTTTTAAAATATATAAAATATTAATTAATAAAAGAAATTTATTAATTATATAATAATATAATTTTATTTTTTAAAATTGTAGTTCATAATGAATATTTAAACAAAGTTCATGAACATTGTTTATTAACTGCTGAATATGAAGATTTAATGGCAACAATAAATAATGTATGTATATATATGAAATGTCATTATTTAATACATATATTTTGAATAATTATAAAAATAAATCTATTTCAGTTAATTGAAATGTGTAATCATATCAGAGCACGATGGAATTATAAGAAGTTAACATTTGCTAGTGAAGAATTAGATGTATTAGAAAACAGTTATAATAAATATCATACATATCTTGCTTTAGCCTTACATAATGCAGTTCAGAATAAGGATGCAAATTATTGTAAGTCTGAAATTTTATTAATAATATTATATGATTTATTTCAATCTGATATTTTTATTTATTTATGTTTAATTAACTAATAATAAAACATTAAATGTTTTATTATACTCTTTTATAAAGATTTGTGATAATTCCTATCAATATAAGTTTAAAATTCTATTATAATATTTTAAATAATATTTATTATGAATTGTTCTAATTTATAAAGATTTTTTATTATTATTATAATTATATTATTATAATATAATATATATAAAGTATTAATTCTAAAAATGAATATATTATTATATTGATTTAAATTATCATTTAATGTTTTTTTTTAATTACTTTGTTCACAGTGACTGGTTTAAGCTCTGCATTTAACTGCAGTATGTCATATGTTTAACAATAATATATTTTTAAATTTTCTGTATTCAATAATATTAATTGTATTCAATGACATATCATAATAATATATAAATATTTTATTTTATCAATTAAATATTACTAATAAAAATATAAGTTATCATTAATTAGAATAATATAATGTTGTTATTATTCTTATATCTTATGTTTTCATTTCTTGAGAAAAATGTATATATATATTAATATATATAT